TCGAATCTCAAGTGATCCACACTTGGGGTTGGGTATGACTGGCTGATGACGGCTAATAAGCCAGAAATGGCCATTCCGGTCTCCCTTGTCTTTGTCGGTACCATCTCATCTATATCTACTACTAGTCGCTGTGCGACTGCCTGCGAGGGTTTAAGTAAGAGCCCCAAGGCACAACGGAACGAGCATGTTCCGCAACCTGATCGGCGAGCGCCCACTGTCATAATATATATATATATATATATATATATATATATATATATATCAGCGAGGAGGGATGACAGATAATGCGGGTAGATTGATACAGCACTGTTTCGGGCTTATTCTGCCTTCATTCAGCCAATCATAACCCTGACCACCAGCAGCTGCGACCAGAAACACAAACATGCGCACCGACGCACCTGGCGCAGTCGGTCCACCACTGAGGCCTACCAGATGGGTCATAAGCACTTCATCAAACCGAAGTTCATCAGTGCCTCACCACCTGTCATTCTCTGTCGCTGCAGATCGGGTATTTATCAATCAGGAATGGGCGCACACCGATCTATTGGCTTCACAAAGCAAACAAGCTCCGTATGTGTGGCAAAGATCACGAACAGGCAACCAATTACCAGGCCGAAGTCGGCAAAGCTATGATAGCAGAGGGAAGACGCCAGAGTCTGGTAGTAGACTGATACAGCACTGTTTCGGGCTTGTTTGTCTTCACTCAGCCAATCATAACCCTGACCACCAGCTGGTACCGGAAACACAAACATGCGCACAGACCCACCTGGCGCAGCTGGTTCACCACTGGGGTCTACCAGATGGGCCCTAAGCACTTAATCGATCCGAAGGCGTGTGTGAGCGCCTTTCGTTCTCTCAGCATCCGCCAGCCAATTAGAGGAAGGACAGCATTGATTGGCTTCGAGCACTCGCAAGACTAGTAACAAACCTCGCGCGTTCCAGAAGCGGATCGACAGAGAGTGCGAGTCAAAAAGAAAGGCAGCGTGACAAAGACTGAATGCAAGGAGACGCGAACTGCCACATCCCCACGTTTATCGTAGCTTAGCCGGCTTCAGTCTTGTCGGTGGCTGCCTGTTCGTCACCGATGTGGACTCGGGTATGTCCGAGTTGAAATCGGTCGAGTGACTTTAGGTCAGCGCGTCTGGGACGGCCCGCCGTAAGGGGTGAGTGTCCTTGAGGCAGCGAGGTCTCTGACGATGACTCCAGACCGGCCAGTATGGCTGCCCGCAACATGCGCTCATTCCCGAGTGAATATGATTATAGCTCGACGGTCGCATCCGTGTGTCCCACAACAAGGTGAAGCGGACATTTTGATTTGCGTGCAAATTAGCTTTTATTGACAGTAGACTTGCGCAGCGTCCGCCGCACTCCTTCCTCCCTCCCAACCTAAGCCCGGTGTCAAGACAAAGTAAAGAAGACAGGAGGCGTGGAGGGCGTAGGTGGACGGCGCGGCCGAACTTGCACCTGGGCGTTCAATTCTACGCCCCCTGGTCCATAACTGACACCTTACCAGGATGCTGACCAACATCGACAATAGGAAAGACGTGGATGACTGTGCAGCCATTCTCACGATCTGTATACCCAGTGGGAGCGCACGTGCATCTACCGGTAAGAAACCAAGGTTCAGAAAACTGCCACCGCACATCCGGCTGCGAGGGCCGTGGTTTGCTGATCATGACATAGCAGGCGCTCATAACCTTGAGACCCAGAAGGATGACACCCAGATCTGAATTTGTCAGGGGCCATCTACTTTCAAAGGCTGGGTAACCAGTCAGTCAGCGACTGAAAGACACTGCCCATTAAGTTAAAAATCTCCTCACATGCTTGGGAGGGCCACAGGTCAGTTTTAGAAGGAGCCGTGACAGTCTTGTTCTCAGCCCATCTGTCCGCCTTTCTACACAAACACACAACAGGGCAGACTACGTGGGCTGACTTGAGGTGTCAGTCGGCAGCCTTCAGAGCCCCTTGATAGTCTCGGACTCGGATTACACTTGCAGCAGAAGAGCCGAGCGGAGACGAGCCGTGAAGAACACTTGCGTGTGATGTAGCAATTGAGTGCTGTGATGCAAGTGCTGGCGGGGTGTGTGTGATGTAGCCGCAGTTGCCTACCACAGGGTTTCGTAAATGTGCATGCGACCTCACAGGCCCGTGCGGTGAACGAATGCACGGAGGCAGTAGAGGCGGTTACGCAATGTGTTGTGAGTGTGGATTGGTGCTCCAGACACTGGTTCGTCAGTCTCAGTTAGATGGATTCTCAAGTGATTGACGAGGCCGATGTGTGAGGTGGATGTGCGGTCGCAGTGAGGGCAGGTAGGAAGCAAATCCATATCACTGGAGGTATGAGTGTTGGTGGTGATTATAAAAAGTGATGGGACATCAGACGTCGCCCTATTAGGGGGGGGGGAGTGCGTAATGTCGTGGAAGTGAGGCTGACCGGTGCGGTCGATGCAGGGCTTGGGGGTCGGACGTATGGTGTCGGCGGCAGGGCAGCGACAGTGTGGTCGGCGGTAAGGGGGGGGGGCGGTCAACGCGGGGTTTTTGGCATGGGGGAAAGTGAAATGGGACGTAAACGTTGTCGGGTTGATGACGTATTGTGTCCGAAGGTGCTCAAAGAGACCGATTTCTGCGCGGAATGCGCGTTGGTGGCGGTGGATGTTTGGCATCGAGAAGGCGAGGCACTTGCGATTTGCGAGCTTTTCGTTTGGCTTTGGCGGCGGTGGCGGCGATCCGAGTTACTCCACTTTTCTTCCCCATACCGGTCTGTTCTGGGCGACGTCCCTCCAGGCCTCTGGATTGATATTCCATCGCTTACGAGAATTCGATGTGTCCCTGCAGCATCGTCTGGGTCATGTCGGTCGGTGAGCACCGGTGGTGACCGGTGGTGACCGGTGCTGGCCACATAAAATTAGCTTCGGCAGTCATATTTCTTCCATCCTCACAAGATGGCCGTTCCGACGTAGTTGCAGTTGACTCAGGATGGCGTAGATGCTGAGGGTTCGGATCCCTTCTAGGAATTTCGTATCGGGATCTTGTCTTGCCATCTCAGCATTAGTATTCTGCGAAGACAGCCCAGATGGAAACAGTTGAGCTCCTTGATATGGTTAGGGCAGGCGCTCCGTAAAGAATTGTCGTCAGGACAACAACCTTGTGCATTAGCTTGGTATTCAACTGGAGGACGTAGTGTTTCCATACGGAGCTCTGAAGCTTCCTGAAGGCTCGGGTGGCTTTAGAGAACCGTTTGGCCACTTTGTCGTTGATTCCGATGCAGCGAGACATCGTTTTGCCTAGGGAGCTGGAATTATCCATGGTCTTTTGCTTGGTGTCGCTCACGCGGATACGAGGGACACTGTATTCACCATTCGATGGATGTCGATGCATGATCACCGTTTTGTACGTATTGATGGCCCGTCCCCAGTGGGTGCAGCCGGAGACAAAGAAATCCTTGCTCCGCAGCGTAACTTATTCAGTCGTGCTGTTGACTGGGCAGTCGTCAGCGAAGAGTAGATCGTGGATAGGGGTTGTGGAGAGAGGTGCCGGGGTCTGCAATCGCCGGCTGTCGTGAAGGCGCCCGTAGGTCGTGTAGTCAGTGCGGATTCCGGGGCGCTCTTCACGGTAGGCTTTCATCATCATGGCAGAGAACATGAGGTAGAAGAGAGTGGGCGCGAGTTCACAGTCCTCCTTCATTCTGTTGGTAACTGCGAATGCCTCCGAGATTGCACCCTTACCCGTGACCAGCGCCATTATCCTACCGTGGAGCTAATGCACCATGCGTGTGAATCATTCGGACAGCCGAAATTCTGCATGTCACCATGTCACACAGACCGGAGGACACCATAAAATTTCAAGTGATGGGACTAAAAGACTCGCTGCCACAGCAAGAAAAATCTGGAGTCGTTTACCGGATCTGGTGCTGTTGCGGACAAAGCAACTACGTCGGAAAAACTAGAAGACTGTTACGGACGCGAACTGCCGAACACGCGGCAGCGGTACGGAGAAATACCGCCAGCTCTCTGGTCGCGTCCCATTCGACAAGACCAGGCCACACGTTCAAGTTCGATGAGGCCGAAATTCTCGCGAGAGGGAATTATCGCGTGAGCCGCGAGTTGCTTGAGTCATGGTTCACGGGACCTTAGTCGATCCACAAGTGCAACGACATCCCCATTCCATATTCCGTGCTGATTCATAGGCTGGCCAAAGTAATTGACCACTCGGGGAGCACGCAAGCCGGTGAGCCAGATAGTCGGACAATCGTCACGGCAGCATCCAACACGGGTGATGAGATTTTAGCAATTAACAACTTGCATGCCAGCCATCAAGGAATTAGCACACCAGCGGACAGCAATCCTTGATGAAAAGGAGCGCGGTTAATTACTATAGGTATGCGGTAGCATAGCGACTGCATCCTCTAAATACTGCCACTTTCTGTGCACGAGTCCCCCTTTTATGCCACTGTCTCTGGTGATGGGTTCAAGTGAGAATCCGAACCATCAGGCGAATTAAGACCTCGTTCCAGCGATCGCTTCTTCTTCTTCTTCTGATGTCAAAGACTTTCGTCAGACCCAAGAATGTGGTGTATAGGTGAGTTCGCATCTCCCGCGAATTCTCCTATAGGTGCCGGGTGGAAAAAATGATATCAGTGGTTGCGCGATATCGCAGTAATCCACACTGTCTTTGCGGCAGAGATCCTTGCTCTAGGTGACCGTTGAGACGACTTAGGAGGATGCGGGTGAAAATCTTTCCGGTGATATTGAGTGACGAGATGCCCCTGCGATCGCCGCAGTTTCCGATTGCCTTTGCGTTTGCAGAGGTGAAAATGATTGCGTCCTTGAAAACCTGAGGAACCTACTGCACCACCACATCTTCCGAAATAGTGCCGCGAGTTGGTCCATCAGTCGGTGGGCACCGTGCTTTGATCGCATCGGTGACGGGTGTATTCCCGATGATGAGTTATTGCATGGCACGGATGTTTTCTGGGAGGGAGAACAGATATCCAAGTCGGTTCTGGTTTCCACTTCAGTGAGCCGATCCATGGGGACGTCGGAGATTGTGGAGAAAGGGTTGCAGACGTTTATGAGATGCTCGACCCAGCGTTTCAGGATCTGTGACTTCTCTATCAGAAGCGTCGATCCATCGGAGCTGGGAGACGGCGCCGTCCCTTTTATTAGGAAACTCTACATTGCCTTGCTCGCAGCGAAGAATTTGTTTAATTCGTTGCTGCCGGCGTTAACCTGAATCGCCTTGGTCTTGCCAGCTATCTACGTTTCCTTTATTTCCCACAACTGTAGCTGCACAAGGCGACGACATGGCTAGATGGCCACTTTGGTCGCGTCGGTTGGACAGTCGAGCTAGGCTCTGTGTACCTTGCTCTTCTCGACGAGCAGGTTAGCGATGGCTGCATCCCGCGGCTTGAAGTCATAAAGATGGCTGCATCGTTGCCGTCTAGCTACGCCCGTGGCCGAGGACAGCCAGTGCGGTCGAGTGAACGGCGTCTCCGCGGAGGCGTTTTCATCTCCAACTAGCATTTTTTCCAGTCTCTGAATCAGTTGATTGCTGAGCTGTAAACGTTGAGCAGACAAATACAACAAAGCAGCTTGTGGCCTCCTATGGGCCTGTAGACGGAGTTTCATCTTGGAGATGACGGGGAGACGGTCCGTCTAGCCATCGACGTCGCAGACCTCCCGGGTCACCAGCACGTCGTGCTGATCTCGCCGCCGAACGAAAACGTAGTCCAGCAGCTTCCAGCACCGTGATCGGGGTGCATCCAGGTGACCTTTGTCAGCATTTGCAGATGGAAGTAAGTGTTGATCAGCAGGAGGTAGCGTCCAGTGCAGGTTCGCAGGCGCTTCCATGGGGACCCAGCACTCCCCTCCAGACAGCATAGTTTGTGCCGATGCGGGAGCTGGAATCGCCAAGGACAATCAACTTATCCGCATTCGACACAGTCACCAGGAGTGCGTGCAGGTCTTCGTAAAACTTGGTCTTCGTCTTGTCTGAGCCGGCCATTGTTGGGACATAGGCACTGATGATGGTGGCGATTCCCGGAAAGGCAGATGCAGGCTCATCAGTTGGTCGTTGATGTCCTGCGACAGAAAGGACAGTCGTCCCACGATGTCTTTTTGGATTGTAAAGGCGACGCCCGCGCCTCGTTACTCTGCCCTGAGGCGGCCGCACCAGAAGAACGTGTAGCCGACACCCACCTCGTCCAATTGGCCTTGTTCGGAGAATCGGATCTCGCTGAGTGCGCCGGTGTGCAGTTTGTAGCGCACCAGTCCCCAAGCGACTAGCGCCGTCCTTCGTTCCGGGCGGTAACACCGGGGATTATCTACAAAGAAGCAAACATTTCAGGCTGCCAGATTGTGCGCACTTGCCATAACAGCCTGTGGACTGTGGCGGAGGTTAGGAGGAGGAAGAGACAGAGTACTTTGTCTCGTGCTTTGCTTTCAACCGCACGTTTATCAGATGTAGTGAATCCAGCTTTTTTAGGGCACCTTTTATAGTCCCCTTTCCCCGCGGGGAAAGCAGCGCTAAATAGGACTGCCTTGTTGCACCAGACAGATAGCACTCTTCACTATGGGTCACGCGGTTTAGTGAGACAACGTCGAGTGGCTTGAGTCGCCTATGTAATTTGATGTCGCCTTCGCCGCAAGACTTTCGACAATTGGAAAAAGGAGGAGGAAGTAGGGAAAGAGGAGAGGGGCAAGGGAAGTAAGGGTGGAGGAGAAGGGAGGGAAGGTGGAAGAAGAAAGAGGGTGAGGGACGGAGGAGAGGGAGGGGAGTAGAAGGGAAAGGTGGGAGGAGAAGGGCGGAGGAGAAGGAGGTGGAGGCGGAAGAGGAGGAGAAGGAGACTGAGGAGGGAGGAGAGCGGAATTACCGTGCGGGAGATACACATGGATACTCTCATCTGGCTAAGCCCGTCGGTCTAGACGGTGACCGGGGTGTGACCGCTGGACAGGGCCCAGCTTGAATAAGCCAGAGATGAAAGTTGGGTGCTGGTTAATGGACGTTAAGCGTAACAACACCTGCAAGCAAATGAGCGACCTACTACGACCTTCACTTAGACCTACAACGTGCCACTCATACACTCTAAGTGATACGGGGCATACTCGTCCACCTCTGTCTCTTGAACTCAATCTCGAGTCCTGCCAGCAGTCGTACGGTGGCTAGAAGTATTGACGGAATAGCATTACCGAGAAAAACGATGGTGACTGGGATGGCCATGTCCGACTTATAAGCTGTCATCTGCCGTACATGCCTAATCCCAGGTCTTGCAACCCTTGAGGCTCGATCCGCGACCTGTTGTTAATAGGTCCAACACCCAAATCGCTGAGCATCGGGTTCGTCAAATCCAGTCCAGTCGCGTTTTCTTTGTCGATAATGTTACAGGCCGACGACCACTTCGCGCACTCAGTTTTAACACCCTTAGAGTACGTTGGCTATCGAGATAAAATGTTGGTCGTCTACATGATTCCATGCGATGCCTGTGATGCCGTATATTGTGACCAAACGGGAAAATCTGCCTCTACGCGCATTCACGAGCATCAGCTGCCTCAAAAATTCACCATCGTCTGGTGAAGGAGGGCGTAATGTGTACCTTTTTTTACCTAAAGACAACCATTGGCATATAAATAGTGACCGATGTATCTTAGTCGCTAAATTACCAACAGCTGAAAGCTGAGACATTCGTTTCGCCGATCATTTGACGCAAAAAGCAGTTGCTTTCCCAGCTTTCCACACGTATTTCTGCTAAATGTTCTTAGATTCATAAATATTAATTGCAAAATATATGGCGCAGTTCATGGCAATGGAGAGGCTATCTGTGCATTTGGATTCTTCTTGATATACTCATGCACGACTGCTTAATCATGATCAACATGGAATTTAAAATGTCAACTCTAAAACCACTCATTTGTTTCTAAAACATGCTCGCAAGCCAACAAAACCTCAAACTTAATAAATCATCTTTTCACGCACATACGTTAGCGTAGGCAAATGGTTCTGCAAAAGCAGCATGATAAATGCACACTTTGCGTGTTGTTCTATGTGGAAGATTACTGACTGTCAGGCATGCCAGATCTATTCTAAGATACAGAATATTAAACTGGTAAGTATTGTGTTTGACTCGACACGCAGATTACTGTATGGGCGCTTACGTAAGGTCTTACTTGTGCTTCTTGGTTCCTTGTTAATAAATTTTTCTATAATCGATCCACTTTATGGATTTTGGTCGATGTTCCCCGTGTTATGGCGATAAGTAACCCAATAGAATGAGGTTTTATTTGTATGGAGAAAAAGTTCTATACCACCACCACCACCACCACCACCACCACCACCACCACCACCACCACCACCACCACCAC